TAAGGGACAATAAACAAGTTTGGTGTTGATCATGTGTTTACAAAAAAAGATTATAAATGATAGTATATCCCCGTACTGCCTCTTTCCGATCAGCTAACAGATTTTTCAACAATAACTGACAGTGAAATTATATATAAAAAAAATTCTCTTTCAATTCTGCAAATATTATCATTTCAGCTAATAAATGCACCAACTTTTTAAAATTTTACTTGAATTATTACTATGAATCGAGGACAAATCATTACTGACCCATTTTCCTTTTCTTCAAAATTTCACAACCACTTTTCAATCAGTTAACAAAATATAAACTGTACCACATAAAAATGTCATACAATGTTAAAATATAATTACTTCTGTATTTTGGAGAAATTTTGACAAACTCAACTTCAGATAAATGGTAATAAACAATTTTAACCTAATTATAATGCCGTTTTTCAATCTAGATATTTATTTGCAGTGGTAAAGCTGTCACAATTGGGGTATGGATGTACATTTCAATTTGCATAACAGAAAAAGCATGTTCTTTGTGAAATTTTTAGGATCTTAGGTCTATATGACCCCATTCTAGTGACTGCTTACTGAAAAAGTTATCACAGAGAATGTTTTTCCTTGGTTAAGTGACTGTTACTTTACTGATGTATTACCTTCAAAATTAAGAACTGTATGGTAAAATATGTACATATTAAAATTACAGCTTTTGAAGTGCAGTATATACATTATGACTTCATGATATTGAAACAGTTGTCCAACTTAATATCCATTTCTGCAGACTGACAAAAAACTGAGTCTGTATATCAATTATTTTTAGAAAATTATTGCGATTTGTAACTGTGTAAATAAAGGATTAGTGGAAAACACACGTTTTACATATTTTGAACTAAAATGCTAGCATTTTCTTTTTTTATCGCCTAAATTGACATTGCTGCTAATAAATTTAGTCAAGGGGAATACAAGATGTGCTTACAGTTTGGTTACATGACAAATAAGGTCAAAAATAAAAAAATTCTAGGGGTGATTGAAAAGTGGTTGTGATTGAAAACTGGCAGTGTGTGGATATGCCCGTTGCCATTGATAATCACGATATTACATGTATGAACATAAAAAGACTAACAATTATAATTATAAATTAAAATGTTATAATTTAAAAAAGATGACTGTTGCATAGTTTTTGGCAAAATCGGTATGAAATATCGTCAATCATCGATAAAGATAATAATATGAAAATACTATTTAATTACCATTTAATTGTTCAATACTTTTATTTAAAAATCTTATCTTTTTAGATTCTGTCATCATTTGCTATACTAAAGCAATTTACAGGCCGGATTATTTTTTTTTCTTTGATCTACATGTATATTATATGTTAATAAATAAGTGATTTGATATTGGCCCTGTTATTTGTCTGAGGGCAGTAGTTTGGCCCAAGGCCGAAGGCCGAGGGCCAATGCGACTGAGCCGAGGACAAATAACAGGGCCAATATCAAATCACTTATTTATTAACATTTTTATTAAATAACTACACGTACATGTACTTATGATATTCCACATTTAATTTTCGGATATTTCTTCTTATTTTAATTCTAACATATTTTAATTACAAGGTTAGCTTTTAAAAAAGCTAGTAGCGACTCGCTTCGTAATTTTTTTCAAGGGGTGTGTTTAAATGTAAAAATGACAGTTCTGTTAGCTGAAGAGACTTCAGCGAACATCAAAATAAAAGTGAAGTCAACACTGGCCCGGTGCCCGATGGCCAGTGTATATAAGTTCAGGCCAGTGTAAATTTAAGAAAATTTTGTTAATTATTTAGTAGAATAAATTCAAAACTGGAATTCGGGCTAGAAAATTCAAAATCTTAAACTCATTGACTGAAAGTGACATATAATGTTCTCTCAGTTTAACCAAGATGAGTATGAGTATTTATTACCCTTCCAGATTTGTTCCGCCTTTTTGATTGGATATTGATCACCCGAAAGAAATTGATATAACCGAGCCAGACGGGTAATATACACACTAAATTTCCCCGTTTGGTGCCCAACGTTGTAAACAATATGCGCTGAGGTGATGCGCGTACGGTTCGATTTAACGCGGTGAAAATTCCGATTTAAAAGCACTTTTTAACTGTCAAATGATAAATATTTACCAAAGTAGAGTAATGATACATATAACCATCAGTATCGAAAACAAATATGACCTTGTGAAAGCTTGATATTAATTACAAAAAAGTGCGCTCAACAGACTACTCCTTTTCTCTTGTTTACTTTCGTAAGGTACGGGAAAAATACGTCATGTATTTATGTGGGCTGTGACTAAAAAAAGGATTGGAGCACCCCACTAAATACCGTATTCCGGTATATACCGGACAAGGCGCTTGAATGATAAAATGCTAAAATCTTGTCTTTTTACCCAACGGAATGAACTTTAACAGGTCTAATTCATCTTTTCACACCGAATCAAGTACGATAATCAAGGAAAAATGTAAAATTCGGCGAAAAAAACGATATTTGTCTATTTTGGGATCATGATTTTTGCAAGCGTCTAGAGGTACTGCTCCAATCCTGTATTGAGCTAAATCCATTTATGTGACGTCATGTTGTGACGAAGAGGTATCCTAAAGGGAATCTTATTTCGACGTTTCATTTAAAACAGCAATGATTTTTTAAAAAATCGTCTAAACTCGGCACGGGAAGGGTAATAAAATTATTATTTTGGTTTTTGGAGTGATATATGTGGATATATTACCTGCCAAGATAAAATATCACCCGAGCCTAACGGCTCGGGTGATATAAAATCTTAACAGGTAATATATCCACATATATCACTCCAAAACCAAAATAACATATAATATGAAGGTGCATGTAAACAGATAGAATGAAGAACCTATGTCTATGCACATTTACTATATGGCCTGTTGACCTTGACCACAAAATGTTAGATAGGTAGATTTCATAAAGATGTCTCTTTATACAAAATTAAGTTGTAATACATGTATGTTATTTAGTATTGGAATGAGAGGCACAAGTCCTAAAGTAAACACAAGTTGTCAATCAATTCAGCCAGAAAAGCCGGGATCCTATTAAAAAATATAGAGATCCCGGAAATTGACCAGTCTAAGAAGATGTTTTTCAGATAAGCCGGGATCCTATTAAAACATATAGGGATCCCGGGAATTGACCAGTTCAAGAATATAGTTTTCAGAAAAGCCGGGATCGTATTAAAATGTAAATAGATCTCACGGATTGGCCAGTTCAAGTATATAGTTTTCAGAAAAGCTGGAATCGTTTTAAAAGATATAGGGATCCCGGGATTTGACCAATTCAAGAAAATAGTCTTTGATTTTTCCAATTAATTAGGCATATAATTATAAGTATTGGGATTTCCGCATTTTAAGTTTTTTAATAAATAGCTCTAAATATATCTATATTCTAAGTTAAATTAATTTAACGTTCATTATATACAATAAAAAAAATTAACGTTTAATGGCCTTTCATTACGACAACAATCAACACAAATATAGTTCATTAGGTTTTTCCTCCATATCTTATACGATCCCGGATCCCGGGCGTCCCGGATCCCGGCCAGTAAATACATGCACTAAATACCGGAAAGGATAAAATGACCGGAAAAAAAGGAAAAATAAAAAATGCACAGAACAAGATGTACACTTATGTTAATTAACCAAACGAAAACTTACTACAGAGAAAACAGGTGAAATCGCTAAATCAGAAGTCAGTGTAAATATGATTTATTGAAAAGAATTCATAAAGACAAACATTTTAATCATCATTATATCTTTGCGCTCAAAACAATACTTGCTGATTTTTAAAAATGGCGTGAAAATTGAAGGTTTTTTGACGCTATGTAAGATTAAATTTGATTGGCTAAATAATTTTGGATCCTAGCCCTGATAGATAAATTTTGTAGAAAGCTGGAAGCCAAGCGTCGATTAATTTTTTGGATGGCTTCGGAGTTTTAGGTTGTTTCTCAGTAAAATCCTACCGTAATACCGGCTCGCCGTGGCGAGCCGGCATAACAAAGAATAACTGTAAAAATAACTACATTTTGTAACTTATATTATAAAACGCATTGCATATTTTGGGCACCCCAAAACACACGACGGAAAGAATATCTCACAGAAGACTGCATAAAAATGGGTAAATAAAGGAAAGCCAGGAGAGTAAAATCACATTTCGATTTTCTTTAAAAGAAAAGCTTTGAATTTTATATAAATGTTTAAAACGTTGAAAACTTACCCTGTATTTGATCTATTTTCTCCAATACATAATTATCGAGTTAACACTCACATCTGGAGCAGCGGTCCAAGGGTGATATCAATTAAGAAACGTGCGTTAACGCAATAGCGATACATTTAGAAATATTTCATTCATGGTACTTTTGACACTTAAACTACTCATGGAAATCAAAATGTATGCTAGGAATATAATAAAAAAAAAACAAGAACGTTTTATTTCATTTGATATGCATCTATTTGTTCAGAAACTAAACTAGCAAAAAGCATTAAAAGAAAGAATAATACACCGTTAATAATTATATACAACTATTGTATCAAATGCGGTACTGATACTGACAATATTTTCCACCAAAACTATAAGCAGAACAGAACAGAACATATATTTTATTTTGAATTAAGCATACTAGTATACAGCTCATCTTCATATACAACAAATATATGCCTGCATGAATATGAAAAATGGTATAAGCGAAAATGTTAAAGCAATTTAAGCAACTATATTTTTACCCTTCACATTAGCCTTATTTAATATATATATAATTAAACAATCATTATAATCATAGAAAGATTTTGAAGTGAACAAGAAAGACCTTTTACAGTTATTCCGCTTGCAAAACATAAAATAAGTCATTACACTTCGATATTCTCCGCTGAACAACATTTTGTCAACATAAAAATGTATAAATTGCAAATACAAAAAGAAATTAAAGGACCACTAAAAATGTGAAAACAGTTCTTTTAACAATTATTCAAATTTATTGAAACTGTCACACAAACTTTTATTATGGATGCATCTGTCTCTATAGATACCATTTATCATTTCAAACTTTCAGAGAATATTGCTCTGAGATTGACCGGCAGAATTATTCCTTTGATGTTCTGTGCATGCATCTGTCATGTAGTATTACTATATTCTGCTACATTTGATGATAATTTTGATGCCCTCGCCAGTGATGGCGGACCTAAAGGCTTTCATTGTTTCCTCTAAACTAAATATATGTGTGATAAGAGGCTTCACGTCCACTTGACCTGTAAACGAGGAGAAAAAGAAAACATAACATAGGAATCAATAAATTTTAATGTAAAATTTGAAGTCTAAATCAATCAATATCATGTACAAGTCTATCTTAGCACATTGTATAATAGTAAAAGTTCTGTTGTTAATGTTAAAATGTGGTTAAAATTTTATTGAATTCATTAGTTAAATTCATATCGAATCCACGAAAAGTGAATTAATACTTTGATCTACTGCAAACGCTATAATTATTCGTGGTGGCGTGGGCGAGTTGTTAACGCGTCAACTATAGAAATCTAAGGATTGCTGATCGCGTGGGCTCAAGCCCTGTCACGGATAAGCCGTTGTTTCCTTGAACAAAAAACTTTGCATTCATTACTTTGTACTGGTTGGTTCTAGGAACGGATTCGAGAGTGTTTCAATAAGCTTATAGCTTCCAACACAATAGAACTAAACCTTAACGCTATTATTGTAAGTACGAGAAACTCAAACTCCGGTCTTTAATTACCTGACGCTACCATCTCTAGTGCGGTCCCGTAGCAGTTAGCATATCCCATGACACCCCGGATGTCAATCTCTCTGACTGCGGCATCAAGTATAGGCAGCGTTATATCTGATGGTCCAATACCAACTAGAGCGACACAGCCACCCGATCTCGTAGCCTTAAATTAGATATACATGTCGTACTGTTTCATTACCATACTTTTAATAAAGAAACTATATATATGTAAGTAAGTCTATGTGAAATTAATAATAGGAAATTTTTGATTAGCGCACGTTAAGTCTGTGCCCCTATTTCTTTTCCACTTCTTCAATCTTTCCTACTGCACTCTTTTTTTCTTAACTGTCGAAGTACAAATGCCATGTTAGAATTATTTATAAAAGCAAAGGAATAATATTTTAAAAGAAGTAAACAACAAAATCATTATACCTATAATACATAAATCCAAAGAACCTTTACTTAATCGAATTTTGATGGTGAACGGGGTTTCATGAAATGTATCAAATTTTATTATTGATACAGATGCTAAATTCGTGAAGTTTATAAATGTTGACAGGGGCGAGACAAAACTTAATCAAGATTTTAAATATCTTATTTATTACTTCTCCATTTTCTTTACAGCAAGATATTTCTTCAATTTTAGTATTATTCTTCTGAAAATCATATAGGAGTTATGCGGCCTAATTGGAAGTTGTCATTGTTTTCTTACATAAATCGCCGTTCGGGCGCAAGAGGGCGCTCCGCTACACTCTATTGTTATCTCGGCTCTGTCACCAAAATATTGTTCCACCAGTTCGGCTATTTCCTTGGGTTCCTTATAATTGACCTTAAGCGCATAATCCACGCCCAACTGTTTAGCCATGTTCAATCGTCTTTCATCCAGATCTGAAGGAAAACGCAAAAAAAAAAATGATCTGTTATTGTGCTTATCATATTTGTATGTGAATATATCAAAAAGACAATTTTAAACACATCATATAAGTTAGTCTAACTGCAATGTTTTCCCGCCAAAAAAATCTAACATCGGTCAATATCGTAATAAATCGGTCATTTCCGGAACGTTATGGTCCGGAACTTAGTACATGGCGATAATAAATAATCTAATTCTCCGGAAATAACCGATTTGCTACAATATTGGCGGGAAAGCATAACAGTAAGACTGCCTTAAAGTAGAAAAGAACATATTTTTGTTTCCATTTAGTTATTACTTAGTTCATAAAGTGGAGTTCATACACAAAGTAGATGACAGCTACAAAACAGTATAGTTTACAAAATATAAGTGTTCACATCAACAAGGGACTAACAATTTATTTCATAACATCATTATTAGAAATGGAGAGTGAACAACAATAAATTAAGGTTAATTGATAACTGCCATTTACGGAATAATTATCAAACACATAATATTAAACGTACAAAAAGTTACATGCGTGTGCGAAACCATTAGCCGATAAAACTGTCAAACAAAACAAGCACGATGTTTTACATTTTGTAACATTCGAAGTTATGCATCGTCGATCAGGATCAAATGAAAGACTAAATAATTCTCCATTGTTTGTCCATAGAATTAATATTTATGTTAATGATAATATTGAACATAACATAGCATGTTTCTGAAACTTTTAGAAAAAAAATGATTACTTTACAAGATATGGGCATTTTACAGTTGATCCAAATGTCCTTAATTGATCCTCATTTTTATTATTCTTGTATTTGTATGGTATTCCTAAAATTAACCCCAAAATAGGCCCGATTGTTTCATAGCAAACCAACATTGCTTTTAAAAATTAGGATCTCTTTATGATCTTGATCCACATTTTTCTTTGTGAAAAATGAAAAAGGGCTGGGTTTTTAATATTTTGCCCTTTCATCTGACCCGCCGTGTTACAGTATAAAAACGGGCACACTCTGGTCGCAGTGGTCCACCTTTTCTTCGCTACACAAAAGAAGCCCGAGTTGTTAATTTACATAGATCAATACATTTTTAAATACCACGACTTACCTGTGATGCAAACTTTGGCAGCACCACTTGCCTTAGCTGTCATCATAGTCAGTAAGCCAAGCGGCCCTGAAATTAAATAATGAAAAATTATTTCAAATAACACATGTAGTAACAACAGACTCACCAAGAAACACGATTCATGTATTTTAAATGGTTCAAGAGAACCAAATAAAGCAAAGTTTTCTTGTTGTTTTATTATGTTATCTATTTCTTCTCCAAAACCATTAACGTCCGATTCAAAATATTAAGTTTTTTTTGTGAGCAGAAGTCTTATTATGAATTTAGATAAACAAAACATTTGTTAAACCTATAGCCTGCCCCTGCGTACCGATGTTCATGACCTGCACTGTTCGCTTTTCATTCAGTACATATACTGCATGTACTGAATAGTTTCCTAAAATGATGAATGGTTTGCTCCAGAGTGAAAAATGGGCAAGTCCAATTCTAGATATCAATTCAGCATAGCAAGCTTTAAGAATATATTGGTTCTTTGCAGTCTTCAAAAGTTACCCCTTTCTGAACTCATAACAGAAACATAATTATGTTATAATTACATGTATTAACTTAATATATGTTTACTAAACAATGGCAACAACACATACCTGCGCCACATATCAGGACTTTGCTGCCTAGTTTGACACCCGCTCGGCGGCACGCATGGACACCAACAGACAAAGGTTCAAGCAAAGCTCCTTCTTCAGTGCTAACATGGTCCGGTAACCTACAGATAGAGGTGCGTGCAACTCCAATAATTATACAAATAGAGGATATTTGTTTAGTTCAGTGTAAGATCGGAATATATTTCACCGAGTGAGCACCAAAAGGTATATTTCACGAGTGGCGCAGCCACGAGTGAAATGTGAACTTTTGGTGTTCACAAGGTGAAATATATTTCAATCTTACACTAAACTTAACAAATTTTCTTTTTATTATATGCAAAGAAACGTTTAAAAAAGACATTTAACCTAATACTGAATGAAAAGCGCGCCAAATAATAATACAACGTGACGTCATTTATGACGTCACGTCATTAAGTTGGTACCCAGTACTGTGCACGCTGGTATTTCACTAAAACAACGTAAGGGGCTTAAATTTAAAACAGTGAAATTATCAAAGTGGTAATTTCACTGTTTCAAACAGTGAGATTACCAGTTTTATATCACTGATATATTTCTATAAACCACCGAAAAGCATGTAATAAATAATGATAATATATATTATGGTAATAACAGAAAAGTAATAATAATGTTTAACGATCTTGTAAAAGTAAAAAATGATAATAAGAAAAGGAAACGTCATGATAAAAAGAGGACTAATGATAATTAACTTTATTTCTTTAAGGTAACATATGACGATATAAATCGTGTAAGTTACAACAACGTGTCTTATTCTAAATGTGATTATCTGAACAGCATCATCAACAATATAAAGGTGATTAAACTTAAGTAAATTGTTCACTAGTCTGTCATAAAATAATAAACTAGAAAATGGCAATACACACAAAAGACACGTGCCCAGATAAGAAAGTACATGTACAAGTATACAATGTAAATAATTTGAACAAATTATTTTTCAGGTCTTATCCTGCTTAAATAGTGTGATAGACAAGTTTTGATTTTTTAAGTGTAAAACATGTATATGTTAGTTGATAAAACTTCAACCTTAATCTGCTCAACCCAAGAGTTAAGCCCTTGCCGCCCAGGCGACCATGCATGCCCGTGCAATTTAACAGGCTCTATACTGTTAGTTGGTCAATGTTAGCATTTTGATATTTTAATTCCTAAATTTTTATATGTACTGTTCCAACTTGAAAGAAGAACAAATACATTACGCAAATTCGGCAGGTTTAAGTTTAAAATCCTTAATTTGAGCGGTCACTAGTTTAATTAACGTCTAGAAACAGTAGGTCCACAGCCGTGCTCGCTGTCTTTGTCCGTCATCATAGTCGTTACACTGCCATGGAAAGTGATCAGTCTTTGACACCAGTATAAAGCCAGGCAAGCTAGCATACCAGTGCAATCTGCCAGGAGCCTAATTTTGCGTATTTTGGTCCATCAAATTCAAAGCTGGGATTAGCAACAACATGCAAACAAATACAGCTGGTGAAGGATTAAAATTTCCTAGATTTCGACCAAACAGATGTTCGCCTTTATTGCGCCATAATGTACATTTAAATGATAACAAGTTTCTTACTTGTAACAAGATGATGCAGTGTGCACGATATAACGTGCCAAGCTTCCATGTGTAGGTGGGAAGCCGCTAAATTTTATATCTGAACAAAGGTTGTACCGCCCACTTTTGCAGTTTTTACATATCTTGCATGACGTTATTGGTTCAACTGTCACTCTGTCACCTAATATATAATAAATAAACATATAAATATGACAATAATATTGCTGTAATAAAATAATTCTATTCAAAGTCACTTGTAATTGCTATGTAAAATGGATATCATAAAATAAATTATTCAAAAACAACAGCCAACACGTTATAGGTCAACACGTTATAGTGTATCTAGTTTAAAATATCTTCCACCCTCACTATGACTTGAAGGAAAATTAAAAGCTTCGAATATATATCTTTAAGTAGATAAAAGTGTTTCATTCGTATACGTACCTACTTTCAGAGATGTGACAGTCCTACCCACTTTGCTTACTATTCCCGCGGCCTCGTGACCTAAGGTGACAGGCATCTTCAAAACACTGTCCCCAATAGCCCCCTCTTGCCAATAACGTACATCGGTACCACATATACCAACATGTTGAACACATATCTGAACCTCTAAAATATATTCAAAATATGTTGAGGTATTCAGTGTACAACTCGTAAACATACGACACTCTCAGTCATTTTACGTGAAAAATACATAATAACTTGTGCTAACGCGCTGGATTAGTAATTCAGGGTTCATTGAATTGATCCCCCGCCTAACCACTCACAGTACCAATGATACCTTAAAACCGAGGTTCCACTGTATTGGTGCTCTACATTGGATATGCAAAAGAACCAGGGTTGCCTCTAGAACGGGACAATTCCTGTGTATTAATTACAATCATTATCGCATTTGTACACCAAACTTAAACAGAAGCCAGACTAATTTGTTAGGTATTTTCATTTGGTTTTCTGACATAATTATTAATTCATGCGAATGCATATTTCTCTGCTATAACTTTCCCCAGGTACTGTCACATTATTAAAACATGATGGAACAGTTTATTTACTTATTTTTTTACAAATGTATTTATTTATTTAGCAAGTTATAGTTTAAAGTTGCAATCAATGTAACCGTTCATATTTATATCTATTTTATTTATCTATTTAATTGTTTATATTATTTTTTGCGAGATAACATTTTAACCATGAACATGGTTAGTAACAAAACGTATACTTACGACCCATTCCAGGTTCTGGAATATCTGAATCTTCCTGCAAAATGTTAAAAAATAAAAACAGACATGCGCACGATGCTTATGATTTTTAAAGAGAAATTGGCAGAAGTTTAGATAATAGCCTTTCTTTTTCCCGTAATTCTGAACATAAAATATCATTAAACTGTTAAACATTAAAGGTGCACCACTGAGAGGCATTTTTGATATGATGGGGTAACAGAGATATAATTGTTTCGAAGGTTTATTGTTCCAGATGATGAAGGTCATTGAGTTTGGCTGACACCACAGCAGTAATTACATCAATGTGCGCGCCCAGATATACAGAACCAAGGTCAAGCCACACGTCGATCCGTGCCGTCAGACAAAGGGTTGCACTGGTCGCTTTTCAGTCAATACACATTTTGAAATTTCCCATGTCCAGATTAAAAGATAAACACGTTTATTGATGATATTTCTCTTGGTAAGGATAAGAAAATTAATATTTAACATCAGACAAAAAAAAATACTTACCAGACGAATATCACCCTGTTGATATAATATAGCTTTTAGGTTCTTATCCGACATCTTTGAAACAGTGAATTTAATTCCCTACAAACCTTGCGATGTCTGTATATGGATGTTATAGCTTTCCAATCTAACGAATCTGTGAAATCAAACTCAGTCGGAAAGACATTAATTATCATTTCGTTAATTGACTTCCGTTTCATTTTTATTTAACGTCGTTTTTTTTAATCGTTGCGAAATATCACAAAATGTCGCAATGTTCACATCATGTATAAGAGTACACACAATTTGCCAAATTTTGCTTATCTTGTCATTTTGACATTTTGATTTGTTTTCAAATAAAGAGTTCCGAAAAGAGGCATCATTGTTATTCATATTTGCATGGAAATCACGGACGCGCTTAACATTTATGTCACTGAGGTCGATTACTATTTTTATGTTATAATGTGCGACAGTTTGGTTGTCAAGATTAAAAACACAACAGATATTCAATTCAATGAAAATGGGCAAAAAAGAAATCCTACCTTTTATCGGCGTTGTTATTTTCAAATTCATCAGATTATAATATATATGGTGTAAAAAGTTATCTAATTTGAACGTCGTAACCTTAAATGTGACAAGCAAATGCTTTAAGTCAAATCATTATAAGCAATACAGTGAAATTAAGTGTTTTTTGTAATTAATGTTTACGGTAATCTAATGTAATCGAATGACATTTCCTCCGTCAGATTCTAAACTGTTTAAGATTTAGTTTAAGATGCAAGTGGTGAAGTTGCACCGCCAATCGCTAGCTGTTACAGTAGTGGCTGTTGATCCCCTTACAAAGTTTCATTTTATTTACTTCCGCCCATTGTTTTCTGGTTTAGGGCCCACGCGTCCATTTAATTGGCGACCATACGCCGCTTTGTAAGGAATGGCACTAACGTGTCTTATTGAAGGCTCTATGATAACCGCCGTATGAACACATCTGCGAATGTTTTGAAATTTTACCATTTCAGGTTAAATGTTGAATAGTTTACTGCTTAATCCGCTGCTAGAGGCGTGGACGCTATCTTGCACTTTCCAGTACCGTTCATCAAACCGAGTCTGCAACATCTTCAATTTTGCCGTTTTGGGCTTTCTTTAGGGATTCGATTTCACTGTGTTGAGACTACTAGTAAACTGGTATATTATCTAATTTACGGAACCCCATGTCCTGATAAATTACCTATAACTTGTCACAATACATGAATCAGTTTAATTCTGTTATTAACAGAGTAGAAATTTGGTGTTATGCAGTAAATTCTCTCCGAAATTGCATAAATCATTCAACTTAGTTTCACAATTATATACTTTCATCAACTAAGAATATTTTACTTAAGTCTGGTTTTAAAAATTTTATTTTTTCACCTGAAGGAGTGCCTTTTTTAAGATATACAATGCTCATCCTTGAGTAAAATATTTAAATCACAATTTTTTTTATTGAAATCTATGAATTTCTTAATGAATATGTCTAATTTGAATAGAACAATGAACAAACTATGTATGGGCAGCTGGTTTAAAATTACGTGTCAAGTAAAGTTGGTTCTTTCTTAAAACAAACTGACAGCTTTTTCAATGGCACTATATATTCAGAATGTGACCACCAATAGTGTGTAGGGTTACATACTTGTGAAAAGTCAAAACATGTTTATTTTATATTTACAAAGAGACTGTGTAGTACTTAATAAACAATATTTCTAATATCTTTGAGCATAGTATATCTTTAAATAATCATACAATATACATCTTTACACTGAATGAGAAGAAAGAAATATTTCTATAGTACAAGTATAATTATTTTATTTTCAAGATATATGATAATCTTAAAACAAGATATACGATAATCTTAAAACAAGATATATGATAATCTTAAATCAAGATATACGATAATCTTAAAACAAGATATACGATAATCTTAATTCAAGATATACGATAATCTTAAAACAAGATATACGATAATCTTAAATCAAGATATACGATAATCTTAAATCAAGATATACGATAATCTTAAAACAAGATATACGATAATCTTAAAACAAGATATATGATAATCTTAAAACAAGATATACTATAATCTTAAATCAAGATATACGATAATCTTAAATCAAGATCTACGATAATCTTAAAACATATATATTTCTGTTTTTACATTCAAAATAATTGTACTATACATTATATGATATATTACATGTGTGAAAGTATATGAATTCTAATAACTACACAGAAATCAAATTTACATCTGTTTGTATGTGTGTATATGACTTGTTATTAAAAAACAATAATTTTAATTAATTTAAATGATTCTAGAATACATGTAGATACCCAAAATGTTGTGAAATAAATAAACATCACATAAAAAATACTCTATTTGGAATTTTAATAATATGACAAAAATCAATATATAACACTTTAAAAATATATTTTACTTTAATTTTACAACAATCATTTCAAACATTTATCACCAATGCAATATGTAAAATGCCCTTCATAAATAAATCAATATCTTCCCTTTTATAAAAAGACAAAATCAAATCAATTTTCAATATACTTGTATAAAAATCCCAATAAAAATTCTGATTTTGAAAAATCCAATTTCCCACATTGATTTTCCAGTATATATAAAAATCCCAATTCTTGCAATAATATTACAAAATACATGTATAATAATCCCAATTTTATAAATCAGTCAATATCCTCTAATATATTTAAATATCAAATTCATTATTCCATGATAAAAATTCAAATGAAATTTAAAATTTACATGATTCCAATAAAACAACAACAAAACAAATTAACAAACATTCATACATTGAAAGAAATACCACTACAACAATATCCCTTCTAAATATATATGTCTTTTCAGAAATCATTTCAGTCATTACCATCAATCAAATGGAACCATGATCTTAAGGGCAGCATTATCTAAAAGGAACCATGCCCTGAAGGGAACCATGACCTGTAGGGCAGAATGACCTAAAAGGAACCATGCCCTAAAGGAAATCATGAGCTAACAGGAACCATGACCTGAAGGTCATCATGACCTAAACAGAACCATGCCCTAAAGGACATCATAACCTAAAAGAAACATGACCTGAAGGAAACCATGACCTAAAGATAGCTTCTTCACAAAGAAAATTTTAAAGTCTCTAACAAGTTTCAAACCAAAAGTATTTTAGTCATCTAGATCTTATATTTCAACTACTTCAACCAATACTATAAAACTCCTTTAAAAATTATGAATACAAGTGCATATAACATAAAATCAGATAATTCTTATGCTCAACAAATTATTTGTTATCTCAAATGACACGCATGTGAAATTGTGAAAAAAATATCATTGGAATTCTTTAATTTTCATTCACACTGAGCGTAGACAATATTTGTGTAGGTAATATGTTATGTATTAGACACATCAGTAAATCTAAAATTGAACCATTCTGTCATTATTGCCTTCCACATTTTATCATTACTTTAATTCCTTCCCCTTTTAATGTTGTATTGAATGCATCCATCGTCTGTTCTAGACTAAACCTATGGGTAATCAATGGCTTCACATTCACTTTCCCTGAAATAATGTAAAAGTTTTAACATTTTACAACATTTTGGAGCTTTTCAAAATTTCCGACAGGGGGAATAAAAGATACAATTATTATTCATTTCTGCATCTGTTTGATGTTCTAGTTCTGTTGCTAAATTAGCAATGTTCATTCATCATAATCTGGCAGCAGTCAGTCACCCTAAACCTGCTGTGCTGGATAACTAACCAGAAATTACCAATTTCTCTGCAAGTGACCAACTACTTATCCACCATGGTTTTTGAATAAATGATGAGAGACAAATGGCCATTACGATCAACTCTCACAGAGAAATTTTTCCTTGCCTCAGAATTAAACCAGTGACCACTTGACAATGCTCTCCCTATTGATCTATTTGTGTGCAGACATAATGTTCATTGTTTATTCCAGCATGTTTAACTGACAAATTTGAGCAGCCAACTAATTAGAGTTTAGCATGAACATTAAAATATATCCTGTATATAGTATATAATAAACTACATGACTCCTATTTTCCAAAGGGTCTAAAGCTATAATATAAATATGAAATAATGAATTATTTTTATAAAATTTATAAACAGTAAAAATATGCTGTTTAAAAATATTTGTCTGCTATTCTGAAAGGATTTTCCTCATTTAGTACATGCTATTAAAATATATAAACATGTTTCTGTCATATAAAATAATAATATATTTTGGGGTTATTATTCTTTAAGATTCAAATAATTAGAATGTAAAATATAGGCATCAATTATATAGCTGTATACACTTAAATGGTCTTAAAACTGCAGCTTTGTAACATACATTTGTATTGGATTGTCATGCTGTTTTTTAAACTAATATTCAAAGGAGCTGTAAATTTATGAATCATTTTTACTTTCAACAAACATGAAGATAAAGAGTAAAGAATTAAGTTAGATTGCATAAATAAATTTACAGAAGAGGACTTCCTATGAATATCAAGAACAAAGAGAGACAAACAATACAAAGCATAAATTTACCTGAGGCTATCATGTTGAGAGCTGTAGGATAACAGTTTACATATCGGAATATTCCTCGGATATCAACTTCCCGGACAGCCGCATCCATGATTGGCAATGTAACCTCTGATGGTCCCATACCAACCAAAACAACACAACCACCTGAACTTGTTGCCTAGCGAGAACAATCAAATGTTTCTATTATTTTATCAGTAACCAGCTAGTTAACCCTTACCCACTTAATCTCTTGAATAACTCACCCAGCTTCAGCTTTTGGAACCATCCGAATATCAATTCTGGGGATATCAAAATAAATGAGCCCCGCCATGACAAAACCAACATAATGGGTTTGCGACCAGCAGGGATCCAGACCAGTCTGCGCATCCGCACAGTCTGATCAGGATCCATGCTGTTCGCTATCAGTTTCTCTACTTGTTATAGGGTTTGTAAGCGAACAGCATGGATCCTGATCAGACTGCGCAGATGCACAGGCTGGTCTGGATCCATGCTGGTCGCAAAACCATTATGTTGGTTTTGTCGTGACGCGGCTCAAATCTAAAGTTAGTCAGCCATAATGTATAGAGTCAATTCAGAACTCACAAATGTGAAAACTGGCTTGGGCCTATACATTGTGAAAATTGTAAAGGCTAAAATTAAATTATATCCAGTTTCAACATGTTAAGGGTTTGTGTACAACATTCATTATATTTGTATATCACATTCTGTGTTGTATAAATAAATAACAAAATACTGTACAAATTTCATTTTGTTACATATACATTAGAATGATTGCTTTATGATTTTATTAGAGGCTCATAATTAAGGAAGACTGGGCACGGCCAACTGTGTTGCCTCTTTAAATAAAGACTTCATTATCATTATTATCGTTATTATTATTATTGCTTTATATAAAAATTATTGACAAATAGGAATCAATTCTTTGGCACAGTGGTCTAGAGCATTTTGTTACTTAAAAAATGGATGTGAGTTTCAAACACACACAGATCAGTATTTCTTCAAATACATAACAAATGTTGCACCTTTGTGATACGAATTTTATCAATATGTTCAACAAATGTCAACTCCTCATTTTGAAATAAATATTACATAAATTATGGAAAGTGTCACAGTCAGTCAACATTATGAGATACAACATTGAAGTCATGCCACAGAGGTAAGATTGAAAAGATTCAAAATCCAAGACCATAATATTATACAACAGAAGGTATAATCCAAGCAAGTTACAAAACTTACATATATTGCAGTCTTCACACTAGGTGGTGCCCCACTACACTCTATTGCAACTTCTGGTTTCTCTCCTAAACATTCCTCAATCTTGTCTGCCATTTCCCTGGGATCTTTAGATGTTACTTTGAGTGGAAAATCTGCTCCTAAAGATTTTGCCATCTCGAGTCTTTTTTCATCTAAATCTAAGTTAGAATATACAATTTCATAAAATATAGCAAATCTTTTACCTCATGATATCACTGAATGTTTTTCATGTTATATAACTATTACATACTGTCTTTTATTATTATATTTTTTTATTTATTTATTTTTTTTTAGGGGGGTCAAAACCAAAAGGTCAAAATTATGTCGACTTTCCAGCTTTACTGTTGGAGAAAGCTCTCAGTTGCACCTTTGTGAATAATTTCAGGTACAAACAGGCACCTGAGTAGAACCACCAACTCCATAAGCTAGCTGAATATCTTTCTCACATGGAAGAATTCAAAGACACTGGTCAGATCGAACCTACAGCGGTCAGGGGCAAGTGGTTTTAAGTCAAGGACCATAACTTATCGGCCACGAACATCTTTTTATATCAATTATACATGTCAAAAAATGCTTTTGCTGTTTTTCCATAGTTTCTAACTTGATGATAAAGAATCTTGCTCTTGTTTTCACTTCCCATGAGGAATAACATCATAATAAATATATAAAAAACATGTTTTATAAGCTCAACTTTACCCATCTGCCCTTTTTAGAGATATCTCAAATTTAAAATTCAGTTTCATTCCAAATTCAGAGCTGGAGAGTTTCAGCGTAAAAAGTGAGAAAGGAAAACATCTAATGCTTATACACGTAACACCATTTTCAAAATTCAACAAATTTTACCTGTTATACAAATTTGAGCAGCACCACATGCCTTGGCTGTAAGCAAGTTAACCAATCCAATGGGGCCTACAAAATGAAAATCAAAAACATTAAATGTTCCTCTAAATATAACAGACTTAACCATTATTCTGAGAAAAAAATATTAATAAAGCTTTAACAAAACTGAAAATTCTAGTGACTGCTTCTGACATTGTTTTGAATATGAAATCTGAAAACCAAAGTGTGTCAGTCAAAATTACTGAGTATTTTCCTTTTTCATGAATAAAACAAATATAAATCAATCCACCTAACAACCTTTCCTTTATAACTAGGCCATTTATTACCAATTTTTCTGCAAGTGACTGACTACTAATCCAACATGTTGTCAGAATAAGTGTTGAGAGACAAATGATCATTAGTAAAGTATTAAATCAGTAAACCCTGGTTTACAAATTATCAAATATGAGCTAAGTAGGCAGTAAAGAAGCATAAATATCATCAAAAGAGAATTGAACTACTCTATACTGATTATACCTTGTAACTGAAATTCCTTAAAATTCAAATGGACTGTTCCATGACATAAATTCAGCAGATTTTACGGGTTGAGCATACTTGACTTGAGTAAACCTGACCTTCCATTACATTAAACGATACAGTTTGTATTCTTTGACTAAGGCAAAGATTTATATCCACATACTGCCAGTTTTCAATCACAACCACTTTTCAATCATCCCTAGAAATTTTTTATTTTTGACCTTATTTGTCATGTAACCAAATTGTAAGCACATCTTGCATTTACCTTGACTACATTTATCAGCAGCAATGTCAATTATGGCGATAAAAAAGAAAATACCAGTATTTTAGTTCAAAATATGTAAAATGTGTGTTTTCCACTAATCCTTTATTTACCCAGTTACAAATCGCAATAATTTTCTAAAAATAATTGATTTACAGACTCAGTTTTTTGTCAGTCTGCAGAAATTGATATTTAGTTTGACAACTGTTTCAATATCATTAAGTCATAATGTATACTGCACTTCAAAAGCTATAATTTTAATATTTACATATTTTACCATACAATTCTTAATTGGAAGGTAATACATCAGTAAAGTAACAGTCACTTAACCAAGGAAAAACATTCTCTCTGATAACTTTTCAGAAAGCTGTCACTAGAATGGGGTCATATAGACCCTAAGATCCTAAAAATTTCACAAGAACAGGCTTTTTCTGTTATGCACATTGAGATGTACATCCATACCCCAATTGTGACAGCTATACTACTGCATATAGATATCAAGATTGAAAAATGGCAATATAAATAGGTTAAAATTGTTTATTACCATTTATCTGAAGTTGAGTTTGTCAAAATTTCTTCAAAATACATAACTGGTTATATTTTAACATTGTATGACAATTTTTATGTGGTACAGTTTATTTTGTTAACTGATTGAAAAGTGGTGGTGAAATTTTGAAGAACAAGAAAATGGGTCAGTAATGATTTGTCCTCGATTCATAATAATAATTCAGGTAAAATTTTAAAAAGTTGTTGCATTTATTAGCTGAAATGATAATATTTGCAGAATTGTAAGAGAAATTTTATTTTTATAATTTCACTGTCAGTTATTATAGAAAAATCTGTTAGCTGATCGGAAAGAGGCAGTACGGGGATATACATGTACATGTATAAAACAATGTAATCTAGCATTGTGATCTTGGCAGCAAATTTGTAATTTTGTGAAGGAAAAATTTACCTGCACCACAAATCAGCACTTTACTACCCAGTGTTACACCTCCCCTGTTGCATGGCTCTATGAACACCTCGGACAATGGAGTCCAGGAGACCCCTTCCTGTACTTACTGATCTGGAATTGGAAAAATTATTAAGACAAATTTTTTTTATTGTAATGTACATAGATAAAGGTTTGTACTTCTTTCTTTCTATAAATGAGTGTAATGGGTATTTAAATGGATATCCTTGATCATCTTAAAATAAAACTATGCATCAAAATTAGTAGGTGAGACTGAATATCTCCTTGGGTTTAAACATATTTATTTAAAAAGGCTTGATTGGCAAAACAAGTTCTTGCAAACTTAAATACATGTATCAAATTTCCTTTCAAATTCCACTTTCTGGGGGGGGGGAAACCAACCCCAGTAATGGTTCAAATAAAAAACATGATTTAAGGGAATGTATTAGGGCCTGAAACCTATTTATCCCTGGGTTGGGAGGAACCCTTGACCACTAGGCCCAGCTCTCCTTTAATTTTCCCTTAACTTAGTTACTTGATCTCTGAATTTGACTGACAATAGTTATTTGTATGGCACAACTGATTCAGAATCATTGTGGGATTCACTAAGTAGCAGTCACATGTGGAGAAATTGGTTAGAATTTTCAAAAGCCGTTTAGGTGGACCAACCACCATATATTACAATGTGTTGAAATAGGCCCCAAAAAAGTCCCCAGGCAAACAAAAAACTAAAACATGTTTGTTTATATTATATATGTATTAACAGCAGGCCTCTATAAGAACTTTCCCAATTGAAATTTCTTTAAAATCATGCTAATATCCCCAGATGTTTCACAAAGTTAATCTTGAATGTTAGGCAATATTTTTTTTCCAAAATCACGCGGCTACGGCTTCATCTAATGACGAGGGGAAAAATATTACAAAAGTTCTTGAAGCTAAAAATTAAATTTTTTTAAATTATTTCAATTCCACCTTATTAAACATACATAATTATATGTTATTAAAATGTATAATCATGTAAACTCTGTGTTTAAGATATAACTACAGACTCTTTAAATTTTTCAAATATTGAAAAACAAAATTTAGTTTTTACTTGAAACAAAAGTCTGCATCATGTACGTAGAATCTTGCAAGATTCCCATCAATAGGTGGTGTGGCACAGAATTTCATGTCCAGACAGAGATTGTAGCGGCCTTTCTTACAATATGAACAACATCTACATGGTACGCCAGGCTCTATAGCCACTCTGTCACCTGTCAAAACAAATACATATACAATTTTATAGAAATACATTGTATAAAACAAAAACTCAAAGACAACCATCATGTAAGAAATTCAACTTTAATTAAAACATTGTATATCCACTTCTAAATACATTTATTATAAAATTTTTCCTATAAAAAAGTTTCCCTCATAAAAAATTTTTGTTTTTTGAAAAAAAAAATAAAATTTTTTTAAATTTTAAAAAAGGGGGGAATTTGGGGATTTTTAAAATTTAAAACTTACGAATTTTAGCCCCAAAAATTTCCCCTTTTAAAATATATGAAACTTTATCTGTGGCATGTTTTTTTAATTTAAATAAAAAACGTGGCCTTTTGTTTTAAGCTAAATTTTTTTTTATAACAATTCTTCTTACCAACTTTAAGAAAGTGACCCCTTCCCCCAAAATTGCTTAAAAACCCCAAAGGGGCCCTTTGCCCAAGTCCCAGGGGGCACTTTAACAAAAAAATCCCCAATAGCCCCATGTGCAGTTTTGGTACTAAAAATATTCCCACTTTCTTCCAAAAATTTAACTGAAACCTCTGAAAAAAATGAAATACTTTACCCTGCTGGGGGGAAAACTAAATATATTTATAAAACCAGTGCAGCCCCAAATCAGCGACACATTATGCCTTTATGATCGGGCATGTTCGCTATTAAAGGTTAAAAACCCATAATTTTTTGAAAAAATTGGTAATAACAAACCCCAAAAACCCTTTCCAAAAAAGACGGGAAAGAGGAATGATGCTTAATATTTAAATTTCACCTGTTCAAAAACTTGTTAAAATTACAACTTTTCCCATAACAAATTTACGTTTTTTCCCCGGGTTTGGAAATGGCTTTGTTTTCCCTAAAAATTTTTAAAACAACACCCATAAAAACTCTTTTAAAATTAGGTATTATATTTTATTAAATTTAAAGAAAAATAAATTTCCCCCAATTTTGTTTTTAAAATTTGGGGAATTTTCAAATTGTTTAATTCAAAGAGATGAAAAAGGATAGGGGCTTATATAAAATAGATATGTATCTATAAACAAGATTGAACTAATGACCATTTACCTCCAAGTACAACATTGACCCACTTATTGCTGGCATTGGTTGACCTTGGAGGGTCAGATGTGGTTCTTGCATGCAACAAATCAGGGTTTTTTTTGTTTGTTTTTTTTTTATGGGGGGGGGGGGGGGTTTATTGTCAACTTTCCCGGCTTGGTGGTAAGGACCTCATGTTGCCCTTTTACATTTATTTCGGCTGAAAGGGCCACCAGAACATTTCCCCTTAAATTAGCTAGAAACCAAATGGTTTTTCAATTTTTTAAGTGTTGACAAATTTTTAATTTGTGACAAGATTTTATTCAAGTAAGACAAATTTAAATGGGACAGGATTTTGACCTTTCAAACTTCAAATTATGACTTAGGCCGTTTTGTGAACTTTGTGTCTTTGCAAAGCAAAAATATACAAAAGTTATCACTTTTGCCCACCATTTTTTGTAAAATCCAATAGCAGAATTTTTTGAACCAAGCACTTACTTGCTGTAACCTTTGACATT